AACCCCCAGGTAGTGCCTGAAGGTTTCCTGGAATTATACCTGATGTTCAGACCTCAGAGATTAGTTCCCCTGGGGGCAATACAGCTTTGGAAGGCAGAGTCTATGGAATCACATCCCTACTACTCTCCTTCCTCTCCCCGAATACTGTCTTGAAATTTCCAGGAATTTCCAGCCCTGTGTTGTTCGTCTTAATGAAAACAGTGGAGGGGGGGGGGGGGACCAGTCTAGTGAAGAGACTGAACTGCTCGTAAAACAGAGAAGTAGTAATACTTGTTGGTCAACACAATGGAGCAAGTGTTGGTGTCGTGGTTAGTATTGGACTAGGATTTGAGAGATCCAGGTTCGAATCCTCAGTCTGCCATGGAAGATCCGTGGGTGACCTTTGGGCCACTCATGTGCTCTGAGACTAATCTACTTTACAGGATTTTTGTGTGGACTGAAAGGAAGGGACTATTTTAGCGGCTTTGGGTCCCTGCTTGGGGGGCGGGGGAGGTGATGTATAACTGATGCATCTGAGAGCCACTTTGGTGTAGTGGTTCAGTGTGATGGACTCTAATCTGGGAGAACCAGGTTTGATTCCCCACTCCTCCACTTGCTGCTGCTGGATGACCTTTGGCAAGCCATAGTTCCGTCAGAGCTGTTATCTCAAGGACAGTTTTCTCAGAGCTCTCTCAGCCCCACTTACCTCACGAGGTGTCTGTTGTGGGGAGGGGAAGGGAAAGGAGTTTGTAAGCCGCTCTGAGACTCCGAGTGAAGGGCGGGGTATAAATCCAATCTTCTTCTTCTTCTCTTCTAAGTGATGGGTTATCTGATTCCGTGGGGGAAATTACCATGAGAAAAGTGAAGCTGTGAAAACAGGTCCCCTTCTTTCTCCTTTTGGACTTGCTGACCAAATTTTCCATTCACGCTGGTGGTGATGGCCATTGATGAGGGGCCAGTGTAATTATTAGAGTGGTGGACTTGGGAGACCTGGGTTTTTAAGCCCTGCTGGGACCATGAAGAGAGTCACATTCTGAGCTTTACCTCCCTCACAGGAGACGTTGTGAAGCAGAAAAAATTTTCGTTGCCTTAAACATGTAGCCCACCCCGAACTCTTTGGAAGGTGGGTAGGATATAAATGTGAGGTATAACTGAGTGTGAGAACATCTGGGAAATGTGTGCTTCTGTTTGAGAGAAGGTGTGGTGTGCGAACATAAGAGTGTAATTTGCCAATTAAAACTGCTTTGCAGCAGATCTGACAATAATAGGCTTTCTCACCCCTTTGAGGTCTATTTGACCCCTTTAAAAATAGGTCTGTTTCTCATCACTGATACTCCAGTTTGATGCATCAGCTTGAGTGGTGAATGCCGGTGCCACAGAAGCCCAATTCGGTACCAGGAAACTGTGACACAGTTGCATCTGCAGTGAGTCCTAGAAAACTCTCATTTCCTTTGTTGCTGTTAGTCACGGACTTTTGCACTAGTACAGCTATTCTGAGGCTTGGGCTGTAAGTAATTTACAAGGTGACCTGGCTTTGGTCACAAACAGTTCACCTGAGGGGATTTGACAACACCCCTCTCCGCCGGATGTGCTACGCTCAGGCTATAAATTGCACTCAGATTTACTGCAGGAAAACTCAGCTGCTGCCTAAAACTGCAGTCCCCCCCCCACCAAGGGAGTCAGCCACCTGGGATGAAATATTAAGGAAGGTTAATCCCGACTCTTTACACATGTGGTATTTCCCACCTTGCAACTGCCACTTGACAGACCATGTGGATCGAACATCTAGACATGTGTGGTTATAAATACAGAGGTGGAAGAAAGATGCAAGCGATATAGGCGAGTAGGGAAACTTCTAGCTTTATCTCTTCAATGGTAGTAATTTGCTGAGCTGCCGTACAAGCTTTAGAAATTTACTAGGCTAAGAATTAGTATCTATATAATTGCAACTTGATAGGCATCATGGATGGCATTTTTATTATTAAGTCTATTATCGGGCCCCACCCTGTTGCTTAAGACACATTCTGCCACGGTCTGGGGGTAGACTCTTTCCAGTGGCTGCCCCATGCCTTTGGCATAACCATTTGGAAGAGCCTTATTCTCCTGGCTTTCCAGTATGGCTGCAAAACAGAGGTGTTCCAGAGAGCTTTTGCGGCAGCCTGAATTTGCTAGTTGGAGCATGTTTTTTTAAAAAATTATTATTTTAACATGTTGTGTCCAATAAAGCAGACTGGGACAAAAAAGGGGAGGGGAGAACTGAACCTAAAACCTAGAATCCAGAACCTAAAAAAGGTTAGTCAAATGCTAAAGAGAGCCAACAATAAAAGCTTAATATATGAAATATATAAAAAGATACATGTATTTATTAAACAAAGATTTTAAAATTATATATAAGGGCCCAATTACACCTCATGTACAAATAACAAATTATAACACTCAAGGGCTGGTAGATTCAACCTGACGCTTAAGGACAATTCTATTGTGGACATTTGGCAGAACAATCATAGGACGGCAATTTCTGGGCCAGAAATTTATACCAGAAAAATACCACTTGGCACGTGATTACACTGTTCGAGGCTTCAGTTGAACTTTTATTCTGTGCCTAGTGGTCTCAGTTTGGAACAACTTTTTTCTGGTCCCTATTGATTTTATGTTTTGTATCTGCATGATTGCATTGTATTTTAGCCAATATGTTCCTCATTATACTTGACCTCTGAAGGCCTATGCAGGCCGAAACGCATCAGGTCGAATCTATCAGCCCTTGTGTGTTATAATTTGTTATTTGTACATGAGGTGTAATTGGGCCCTTATATATAATTTTAAAATCTTTGTTTAATAAATACATGTATCTTTTTATATATTTCATATGCTAAGCTTTTATTGTTGGCCCTCTTTAGCATTTGACTAACCTTTTTTAGGTTCTGTGTTCAATAAAGCAACCATATAAATATTTTAAACAATGTTTCCCCCATGTAGATGTTTTGCTGCTTTCTCACCCTTTTTGTAAAAAAACAAAACAAAACAAAAACCCACTCCTGCCTTTTTTCTGTAAAAAGATATTTGGGGAGGTAGAGTTTGGACTCCCAAAGCAATCAAATCATAAGATCAGGCTTAGAATGCTAAAGACTAAGGATAACCAAGGTATCCCCCCCCCAACACTATTGATACACAATTTTGATACGGAATCTCTTTTTAAAAGAATTTTTTGCGAGTATTTGTGTGTGTGTGTGCGCACACGCCTGGTAGTTGACTTCTGGTGACCCCTAGTGGGGCTTGGACATTTTAGAGAGGTGGCTTACTATTGCCGGCCTCTGTATCCCAGTCCTGGTATTCCTTGGAGGTCTCTCTTCCAAGTACTTGCCAGGGTCAGCCCTGCTTAGCTTCCAAGATCTGATGACACCGGGCTTGCCTGGGCTATCCAGGTCAGGGCTAGGAATCTCTTTAAGGCTTCTTGTTCTAATGTTGTCCTGCACAGTGTATAGTTTTCATAATGCTTCTCTAATGCCTGAATATTCCTGATCCCATACAATAGTTTTAAATTTACTGTGTGGTTGCAGAGTGGAAGAAGGCTGCTTCATTTGTTTTTTTTATTTTTGCTGTTAAACCCCACATCAAAGGACTGTAAAAAATAAGAGAAAGGTTTGTTCAGGCCAAGGGAAGTATATCAAGGGTATCATAGTCGTGTGAGGTGCTGTTTTGTTCCATAGGGCCAGCATCAGTGACCTAGATTTTGAAGTGCAGTGTTTAGCGAACAATTCCAGCTGACTTGTAATAAACAAAATTGTAGCCCTGCAATAATCTGTAATCTAATCAGCAGTACCTTTTGTTCTGATTTTGTGTGCAGCTCTTCACCACCACCACCACCACTCTTGAGGTTAGGAGTATTTGTCAGTGTGCATGGACTCCTAATTACATGTAGGCTGTTTGACTTCCCAAGGTTAGTGTGATATTTGTCTGATATGCTGTGATTTATACAGTTGAATTTTTAAAATGTTAACAGCACTAGGAAGAATCAGGAGAGCTTAGAGCTTGTTGTATAATTCCCCTTCCCCCCCATATGTTGTTGAACTGCTATCTAATAGCATATCAGCTTTCAAGAAAATCTGACAGTTGGGCTGTAGAGGCCTGTGCAGGGTACTGGTTTCCTAGTGCGCTGTAGGCTTTAAAAACAGGTGCAAACAACTGTTGCTCCTTACAAGTCAAAAGGAGACCTAGAAAAATGAACTAAGGCTTGGGCAATAGGTGGTGGGTTATTTGGTGTAGGGAGCTCTTGGTTTCGAACTGCCTTGCCGCACTAGATCAAGGGTCTATCCCGTCTACCTGACAAACAGGAGATGAAGAGAAGAGCCATCTCCACTTGTTTCCACGTGGTATACTGCCTCTGAATGTGGAGGTTCCATCTGGTGCAGTTCAGCCAGTAAGGGAGGAAGTAGCAGCTACCAAAATGTAAACTAAAACAAGCAAACAAAAAAGTTACCGAAGTGGAAAGGAGACACGGGAAGACCCTTTCCTAACCACAGGCGCAGGCTCCGCATTGGGGGGGGGGAGTCTTTCTTGAGCCCCGTGTGTGTGCGTGCAGTCCTCACTTGTTTACGTCATCGCGTTGACGTAGAGACAGCCAACCATCTGGTTTTGTCTGCGTAACTGAGCTAAAACAAAGGAAGGTGCCTCTGGTTGGCAGGGGGAGGGAGGGGTCAAAAACGAGGCGGATCACGAGAGCGGGCGGGCGAGAAAGGGAGGGCGAGAGAGTGCGGCCGGCCAGGCAACGGCGATTGGTGCGCGAGGATGCCAACTATGGTGACGTCACCGTTTCCTCACTGACGGAATGGCGGGCGGGGACAGTGGTGGGCGGGGCTAAGAGTATCATGGAGAACGTCGGCGGTTGCCCCGTTAGTGAAGGTTGGCGGCAGCCGCGGGAGGAACCAGCTGCGAGCGCGCTGGAAGAGGCGCGGCCGGGCGCTCACTGAGTGGGGCGGCGCGGTCGGGTCCTTCCCCCCCCCTCCTTGTGATGGGCGGATGGAGTCTCGCTGACGCTCCCGGAAGCCATTGCTGGGGGCGGCGAAGGAGGAGGCGGTGTGTGTAAAACCCGGGCCTGGCCCTGCTGGCACCAGCGGCGGCCACCGCCCCCGGCCAAAAGGAGTCCCCCCCCCCGTCAGGTACTACTGGAGCCTGTGCGGGGAGGGGAAGCGGTGCTGCCCAGGCTGAGGGGAGTCGCCGCCCACCCCAAACCCCATGGGGTTCTTTCTTTCGCCCCGGCCGCCTCCGCCTTTCCCTCGGCGTCTCCCGCCCTTCCCTCGATTTCCCTGCAGAAATGTAATGGCCTCAAGGCTGGCCCCTCGCGCCCAGGCAACACCCACCCCCGTCTATTTTGGCCCTCGCCCACTGTCGCGGGTGGGTTAGTGGGAGCTGGGGAAGGGGATTTATTTTTGTTAAGCTGACCTCTGCCAGTCTTCACAGAACTGGCCTTTCATGGTTTTCTAACAATAGAAAACGAGAACTAAAAGTACGGACCCTCCATTGGGAATGATGGGGGGGGGGGTTGTTTTGAGGGTTTATCTTAAAAAGTGACAGTAAATGGCATGCCTTTCTGTTGTCTCCTTCCGGGGGGGATGTGAGGCTAATTCGTTGGAGCCCTGTCTTTTGTCTCCGCTCTTCTCCCTCCCCTTGATTTTGTATTGTTGCTTAGGTCCTTACAGAGGGTGTGTTGTGAATTAACGTCCCTCCTTCCCCGATGTGGGTGGTTTTCTTGTTATAAAGCATTATCAACAACATACAGTTCATAATAGAAAAGCTGGGTCCTCAGGCCCAGCTTAGAGTCCAAATTTTTGACAGGGAGGAATGACAGCAGCCAAAATGCATTGGTTTGTTTCAGTTTGGGGGTAAGATTTAAGATGTTGCTTAGACATTTAATAGCATTTTGGGTTTTTTTTTAATTTAAAGAATGTAGTTAGTAAAAACTAAATGACAGCAGAGTGATGTTACAGGAAAAGTAATCCATGAAATGGAGAATAACGAAGCTTCAGTGTCTGTTTAGAACAACCAGACCTAGAATATCTTTCTGAATTTAATGGTTTCCTTGGCTATTACTATAATGATATTTACAAGATAACATGCAAAACATTTTTGGAATATTGTTCTTTATCGTATTTTGTCAGTACTGTAGAGGTACCCTTGGAGGAAATGAGTGCATCATCTCAGGGAGTGGTTGCAACTTCAATTTACTTACAGGACTACCCTCTTTTCCTTCCTAGCTGTGACTGTTGTTCTCAAATGCCTTAGGTATGAAAAAAGTAATGAAGAGATCTCTATGGTTTTATACAGCACATAAACTTGTTAACTTATACTTGCTTTAGTCCAGGTGCAAAATGCATTTATACATTGTTCTTCTGAAATAGGTGGAGTGGACAGAGAGAAAACATTGGAAGGGAGAGAAAGTATTCAGTGAAGAATGAAAAGAAAGGTTGGTGTGAGAGGAGTGTGAGGAACTGTATGATAGTGTCTACATGGATTATGGAAAAGATATACAATCTCTTTAATTGCATACTTATCAGTTTTCCTGAAGACACATTGCATACATATATTAAAAAGTAGGTCATGTTACAAAAGTAAAGCATTGTTAGTTTAAATGACGTTTCATGTAGGTCAAATCTGTACTGCATTTTGGGAAACACTGAACATAAGCAAAAAGCTGTAGTTGTGTATGTGGGCTCATGTTCTGCCATTGATTCTTTAAACAATAGCAGTGATGTGGGCTCTCCAGATTTTATAATCTCAATATATTATATATCTCAATATACGATAACTTATATCCCATTCCAGAATTTTCATATGAATGGCTCATTATTTGATTCTGCTTTTCCTTTAGAGAGCCCTGGAGCACATTTATATGGGAAAATAAGTGACGTTTTCTTGTGTGGACATAGCAGCAAGCAAACCCTCAGCATCACATACTTAAGCTTCGCAGACATTCTCCCATCCAGGCGCTAGTTATAAAGCTTAGTTATAAAGCAGCACCTGGGCACCTTCCAATTCTATATCCTGGTCCACTCTGAGAGAACTGGTATAATTACTGCCTTTCTGTACAATAAATATTGTATTGCTTTTAAAAATTCACATGGGCACACCTGGCACGAGAAAATAATTTTAAAAGGTTTGGACATAGTATTAGTGAAAGTACGTTCTGAACCTCTAAACATACAGACAGGTTTACTGGGAAGAGAGGATGTATGAGACACATGATTTTAGGTACCCAGATCTTTCTTCAAACGCTTATGTCTTTACTTAACAACAGGCATATAATTAAGAATGTAGCGGCAACCTCACTTGATGGTGGCTTTCTGCACCCAGCAAATTTATTTTACAAATAGAGTTTTTGGGATAATTAATGATTGGAGGAAAATTGTGAAACATTCCAAAAAAGGAAGCTCTATTTTGTTAAATATTTCACATTTTTCACACTTCTACTTTTTCATAAGCAGCTAAAAATACTGCTGTTAGCCTATCTTGTATATGGAGAAAGGCTGAGTTTTCACTGGTGTAATAAAAACCTCTTAGCCACGAGAACTTCTGTGAACTTTTTATTGTGCATTCCTACGTAGAGTTACCCCAGCCAGATCCACTGATGTTAATGAGGGTAGACTGGCATAATTCTGCATAGGACTGCACTGTTGAACAAGGTAAACATCCTGGAATGGTATGCGTAAAAGAGAAATCAAAGACTAAGGTAACTTCAACTAAAAACATTGTGGCAGAAAGATAAAAATCAGTAAGCAGTATCATAAAACATTCTTAATACTACATCTTTGACACAACAAAGTGAAATTCTTCTAGAGAACAGTCTGATGCCTGATACAATGTTTTTCAGTATAAGAGTATTTATCAGATATCTGAAACTGGCCTAAGTCATTGATTTAAATGAGTTTTCCTGTTTTGTAGTACGTTTCCTGAACAGACATGCATACTGATTGGTTGTTATAACAATTAAATCAAGATGGCTTGTAACTAAACAGTTGTTTTTGTATGACCAAGGAGTTTTATCCAGAATAGCATTTCTGCATGGAAACAGAAATTAAGAGTATAATCCTACCTGATTAAGCATGTTTAACTTTCATTGGTTTCTCTGAATGAGTAAAAAATGGGCCTAGTGCTTTACCTTTAGTCAGCAGGACTGTCGTGCCTTAAATTTCCGTGCTGATAGTTTTATTATTTGCCAGTATAACAGACAACCACTTGTGACGTATGTAAATGTCAGATATTTTCCTCAGTGTTATACTTTACATTGGAAAGCAGTGGTCTTGATAGAGGGTTGTAGGTTAGTTTCAAAAGTTTAATATGTGGTTTCTCTTAATGTCAGCCTGTATTTTAACTCACGCTGTTTTTAAAGAGAAACATGCTTGATTGATCTTTTCACCTGCATCCTCCAAGCTACTCTGAGAGAATCCAAGAAGAGTTTTAAAAAACTTTTTAAAAGCACAGGGTAGTATTTCTAATAATGAGGATCTGTACCATTGCATTTAACAAATGATACAAGTGCATTTATATTAATTCTGGTATTAACTCTGAAAAATTTAGAATGCTATTGTCACCTAACAAAAGTTTTGAAACTAAGAAATCTAGACTATAGTACAGTGGCTTTCCCTGTAATATTATAAATCTGGTATACCCAGAATGGTGGGAAACCGTTTATTTACAAAATGTGTATGCTGCTTTTTCTGTCCAGTCATGGCCACCTATTGAAATGAGGCCATGGGCTGTGCTTTGTCAGCTACGGTGTGTGGTTATCATTGCAAGAAAGCACTAACATCTGTCCTTCACCTCAATAAATTGTGTACTTCTACTGAGAATCACAAAGAAGCATTTACAGTGAATAACTACTGAAAATACCAGGCACTGCAATAAAATTTCTAGGCATCTTGGATTTGTCAAGCCCTGCTTTAAGTGGCTTAAAAGTGGAGACTACAGTTGCACACAAGTAGAGTTACTCAAATACAATGTAATTTTTCATCTCATTGCATGAAAAATCAAATATGCTCGTGTGTTTAATATTTGTGGGTATGAAAGAAGTTGAACCTCCAGTATACATGCACTTGAGTTTAGAATAAGCATTGATGTGTCCTTTGTAGGATTGGATATTTGGCCAAAATGGATTTGCTAAGTGTTTTTTAAAGCATTAATTTTACTTGAAACAATGAAAAGTAACCTCGTCCAAAGGTGTGACATTTGTGCTAATTATAAAGCAATCTAATTAAATTATCACAAAACATTAGTATTTTTTTAAAGTTATGATGAATTATAAAAATGTAACACTTATGAAATGTAACAGTTACGGAACGTTTCACTGAACAGTAACTGAGATCAGCCTGCAGGTACCTTAAAAAAATTATATTGACTACGTCAGTGTATTTTACAAATATGTTTTATGTTTAGATATGCCAAGAGTAATAATGAGAAGCGTTGCTATACTGTAAAGTTTGTCCCAGAGCACCAAGAGGCAAGCTCATGCACAATCATTTTAAAAAGCTGTTGCATACATGGTGGCAATGTTGCCTTTATGGAATATTTTGATGGTGTTTGACCATAGTCAAATAAGCAGTTAAGCCCCATTTTTTAGGGCTCCATGAAAGTTGAGAAACGCAGCTTGTTGTCGAAAGGAACCCTTTGAGGAGGAGTTCTTGATAAAACCGAAATAATGTCCATAGATTGTGGTAAAATCACCTTTCTGCTGAGTGATGTGACTGAACAAAGAGAGCTGCAGGTAAATCATGAGACTCCAAAAACGTGTGCCCTAGACAAGTGGTTCTCAAGTTTTTATACATCCCACCAGTCACTCTATCAAAGAACCTTAGTCCCACCATGACAGAAACAAAAAGCTCACTTTTTCAAAAAGGACATATGAATGCATGGTAATTGTTATGAAAACCCTGATCCCACCTAGATTACTTTTGTGTCCCACCAGTGGTATATGGACCAGTGACTGAGTAGTACTACCATAGAGGACATTTCATATTTGTACAGTTTTCATGATATCCAAGGGTTAATAAATTTACCAGGCATCTGCAGTAAATTGGGAATTATCAGAGGATTTGAAAGACTGAAATGTCAATGTTCCATTTTAAAACCAGTAATTACTTGATTCTAGTCCAGGCTCCCAGTTAGG